ACTTAGTTTAATAAAAAAATGATTCTTTTTCTAAGAATTAATTTTATTTTATTTTATTTTTTTTTTTCATTTGTTTCATAATTTTTTAAATACCAAAATAGAAACAAAACCGCATGAAAATTAGGTTTTTAAGTTTATTTAAAAGAACATTGCCTCTTTTTTTTGTACAATATTACGCTATGCTAAAGGAACAATATGCACTAGACTATTTCATTTAAACTATTATAATTATCTATAATTATCTTTAATTATCACGATAACGATAACGTTGAACGGAGGAAAATTATGTATAAATAGAACGCTTTTTCCTCATTTTCTACAATATACAATACAACACTTCATCATAACAATGGACACACAATCACTTAATACTAGTACATTAATCTCTCATAAAGTTGGTATCGACAAACGTGATGTTGGTACTCCTGATGATTGGATTCCTCGTCATCCTGAAATGATAAGACTAACAGGAAAACATCCTTTTAACGCGGAAGCGCCATTATCTCTTCTAATGGAACAAGGTTTTATTACACCAAACCCCTTACACTACGTGAGAAATCATGGTCCTGTTCCTAAACTCCAGTGGGATACACATCGTTTAACTATTAACGGGTGAATAATATATAATATTAATATTAATGGAATTTTTTTTTTTTTTTTTTTTTTAATAAATGGTTTTTTTTTTTTTCTTTTTTTCTAATTATGTTTTAGACTAGTGTCAAATCCCATAACTTTATCAATGGATGATATCGAAAGCCTCCCTTACAAGGAATTTCCCGTGACCCTTTGTTGCGCTGGAAACCGAAGAAAAGAACAGAACATGATCAAACAAACTAAGGGATTTAATTGGGGAGCAGCAGCTACAAGCTGTGCGATCTGGAAAGGAGTCCCATTAAGTCATCTTTTAAAATTAGCTGGAGTTGATGAAAAAACTGATAAGCCTCGTTACGTATGCTTTGCAGGTTGTGATAAATTACCCAATGGTTATTATGGTACAAGTATTCCTTTGGAATGGGCAATGAACGATGCTAACGATGTCATCTTGGCATACGGAATGAATGGTGAAAGATTACCTCCTGATCATGGTTATCCATTACGTGCTATTATTCCTGGATGCATTGGCGGTCGAATGGTTAAATGGCTTGAAAGTATAACAGTATCCGACAAAGAATCAGATAGTTATTATCATTATTTTGATAACCGTGTTCTTCCTCCAGAGTATGATATGGACCGAGCAAATAAAGAAAAAATTTGGTATAACCCAGATTACATTATCAATAAACTTAATATTAATTCAGCTATAACTTCACCGGCACACAATGAACGTATTTCATTGTCAAGCTTTGTTAGTACAAAAGAATATACAATTAAGGGGTATGCATACACTGGAGGTGGTCATAAGCTTACCCGCGTAGAAATTTCTTTAGATCATGGAAAAACATGGCAACTCACAAAATTGACACAACCAGAACTTGAACATCCAGAAGTTCTAAAGAGAGGAGTAAATCCTATTCCACGATATTGGTGCTGGAGTTTTTGGTCAATATCTATCCCACTTTATTCATTTATTCGATGTGAAGAAATTTCAGTGAGAGCTTGGGATGCCACTCATAATACACAACCAAATACTAACATCATGAAAAATTTGGGTTAAAAATTTATATACAAACTTGGAAAAATATAATAGGTGCAAAACCACCATAAGTGCATTTTATAATAAGTCATTGAACATATTACGATGGCATACATTAGAAAAGGAGTTAAATAATTTTATTCGAAATTGTTTTATTCAATCCTTAATATAATAAACAAATGGTTTTGTTTTTTCTTATTTTTTTTTTCAATAAAGTTATGTTCAGAAGATAATTTTATAACATTATTGTAGCATAAATGCATTGAAAATTTTTTTTTTTTTCATTCATATATATATAACATTAAAAGCGCACAAATTATAAGTGGGAA